AAATCATCCTCTAACGACTAGGACTGTATGCCTTGGCTGTTTCTAAGGCACTGATACTGAGTGTCAGCACGCACAAGTCTGAGAGCGAGACATGAATCACAAGCAAAGTAAACTGCTTGATAACTCATTCCTTCTTTTAATTCAGAATGTGAATAATAATGTGAATTATTTCTTCATATCATGCAAAATGTAAGTGAATCAAAGAGAGATGCAGGAAAAGAAATGGTGTATCTTGTTTTCTGTGGCTGATGAAGAAGAAGAAAGTAGAAGAAAGAGATTCTTTTCCTTCTGTCTCTCTAGAAAGGACAAGGCTTAAACTTTGAAAGGTTCGTTGAAAAAAGCATTGCATAGCACATATCCTCTAAATGTTCCTTCAAAGGGCTGATGAAAGGGAAAGTTTATTGTGAATGCAATAACTGACCTAAATAATATGTCTTAATGAAGATGTGTATTGATTTGGTTATGAGAAATGCTTAGCCTCTAAATATAAAAATGTAAAATGGTAATTGTTCACTCTGAGATTCTGACCTTCCCTGAATGGTGCGAAAAAACACACCTGCTTAAGTCAGACTGTAGAAGCTTGCAAGCAGTGGAAAGGTGTGCAAGTACTATGAATTTAATATACGCTACATTTACCAGGCTCATATATATGTAGCCTAAGAGTCAAAAATCAAACTGAAAAAAGGTTTTTGGACTGAAGCACAGTGGAAATCTAACAATGGCAAAGATAAAGTTACTAAAGGAACTGTGGAGTGCTGGAGGCAACAAGGGACCAAATGGCTAAGCAGTACTTTTGCTTCCCTCTCACTCCCTGGCATATACATTTTTCCTTAGGGTCAAAACTAATCCTACACTGTCTAAGAAAAAAGGTGGAATATGCAAGCTGAAGCTGACATACAAACTAAGACTTCCCATAAAATAAAGATAGTAAGAAATATGAGAATATATGCATTTATAACTGCATATATGCAATATATGCACTTTTACCCTTTATTTAGAATGGCTTGTACTTCAGTTAAATAAATACATAAAAGCATATTTTTTCCTTAACAGTTGGAAGCTTTTTCTTCTGTGAATTTCTGTAGCAAAAGAATTTGCTTTTTTCTTCAAAAGGTGCAACTTTAAATTTATAAAGTGTAGTCCCAGACTAGTTGGACAATTTGGTCCTTCTTATAAGTGCCCATCACTAGAGCAGTACAGAAGATGCTGTATACGGCTGGGATTTCACACTATCACGGTTACTTCTGCTAAGCCCCAGGTCTAGTGGGAGGCAGACACAGTCAGCATTTGGCCTGTACATCAGGCATAATCTGCAGGTAGTATGTTTTTACGCAGTTCCAAGGTAGCTGTAGTCATCCTGGTTAACTATCTGGGGAACACAGATGGAGAGCTATACAAGTCTTTTCTGGTTTGAAAGATCGTTTACAGTACACAGGAAATGACAACTGTTCCTTGATTACTTTTTTTTTCAAGAATTTCATTATTTTCCTTAGATAAGGAGTATCACCTTTTCAAGACTATCCTTGACTTTGTGGAGGTCTTCTCTGAATTAAGTATTATTTGCATCACTACAGTCATTGGCAAGGTGCAACTAAAACATGAGAGATCCTACAATAATTTCTGGATACTGGAAAATGTGTGTGGTCATGGAGGAACGTGGTAAATATTTAGGCCATAAATTGTGTTAGACATGGAATACATGTAGAGTTAGGAAAGGTGATCAAACCCTGAAGACTTACAGTCTTGTAACTGATAATAGTAGCATGCTGAGGTAAAGAGAAAGTTGCATAATTTTCCAGCTTTCTAGTCTGTCTTTAGCGAACATGGCCTCATGAACTTTCTTGAATGTATTCCTAAGTACAGGTAATGAACTGTTGCTATAGGATCCTCCTAACTTAGTTCTTTGCTGCAAGGCAAAAGCTCTGCAACATTTTGAATTAGATGTTTGAAATAATTGCTTCTCCAGGAAAAATAAAAAGGAGAAAAGAAAAAAAAAGGGGGTGGAGGGTGTGACATTACATTATATTTTCTGCTTTACTTTTGTTCATTTTCACTTAGTAAAATATCGCTTAAGAATATAAGAAATAGTGACTGCGGATGGACCCTGCCATTACCTGTAAAGGGTGAGCTGTGGTGGGAGGCTAAAAGACAAAAATACTTTAGGAATATAATGCACTTATTATCAGTTGCTTTATATAGAGCTGCTGAGATATCAGAAGAAAAAACAACTATACTCATTTTTCCACACAAGTACCCACAGCAATGCAGATAGCATCAGGTGCATGGAGCTGTAATGCAACTATATTTACCTCTATACAACAATAACACATGGGAAAGAGATAAACAGGAGCAAACATTTAGCTGTCTGCAACAAATATTTTTACAAATATAATTGCATTCTCTCCATGGAAAAGGAATTTTTGAAGATCTGGGACTGGACAAGTAAGGAAGAAGAAGGTGTTGAGCACTCCCAGGCTGGTACAAAAGAGAGTAGAGAAGAGTATTCAGCTATTGCCTGCTCTCACACTACATTGTAGGCTGACAAGATAGTATATCAGAACTTCTCTGTGCTGGTTTTGACTGGCATAGAGTTACTTTTCTTCATAGAAGCTAGTGTGGGGCTGCGTTTTGGATCTGTGCTGGAAATAGTGTTAATAACACAGAGATGTTTTAGCCGCAGCTGAGCGGTGCTTACACAGAGTCAAGACCTTTTCTGCTCCTCACACCACCCTCACAGCGAGTAGGCTGGGGATGCACAAGGAGTTGGGAGGGGACACAGCCAGCACAGCTGATCCCAACTGACCCGGGGGATATTTCATACCATATGGCATCATGCTCAGCATTTAAAGCTGGGGAAAAAAGGAGAGTGGTAGAGTGGTTCGTTTGGAGTGATGGCATTTGTCTTCCCAAGTAACTGTCACATGTGATGCTTTCCTGGAGATGGCTGAACACCCACCTATCCATGAGAAGTAGAATAAATTCCTTGTTTTGCTTTGCTTGTGTGAGTGGTTTTTGCTTTACCTGTTAAACTGTCAAAATCCATGAATTTTCTCACTTTTACCCTTCTGATTCTCTTCCCCATTCCACTGGTAGTGAGTAAGCAAGCAGCTGTGTGGTGCTCAGTTGTCAGCTGGTGTTAAACCGAGACAACCTTCCATATAAAAGTCACCCCACTATTATGAAAATGTTATTGCCAGGTTCTGAATGGGCTTTGTCTTTTGATTGCCTTTGGAAAAGGATAAAGGGAGAAACACAGTCTACATTGTTGCTCCTCAAGTAAGTACAATATACTAGTCCCTCATCATTGCTCCCCTTCATTGCCCATATCCTTCAGTGATAACAAAGCTGAACCTTTCCTCAGACAAGGGGTAGTTCATCTTGTTAAAGTGTGTGTTTGAGATAAAAAGCTTCTCTGCCTTACTGGGGCTCTGCCTACTCCTCATTATGAGGCAGAATAATGTCATCCAACCTTAGATACAAAACAGTACTAGATAAACACATCTTCATTGCTTGGTTCTTCCTTGTAACTATTTATTGAAATCAAGACACATAGGCAAAGTAGTGGTAAATAAATGTTATACATAATATTTTCTCTTTGCCTAGTTTAAAGTCTAAAACAGGTAGAGAGTCAGCCTACAGATGCCCAAGAAGACAAAGTTTCCAACTAATTTTAAGTTTGCCCATTAACTACTAAGCAAGTAACAATGAGGTGGTTGGTGACAGCCAGCATGGTTTCACTAAGGGGAAATCCTGTCTGACCAATTTGGTGGCCCTCTATGATGGGGCTACAGAGCTGGTGGACAGCCGCAGAGCAGTTGATGTCGTCTACCTGGACTTGTGCAAAGTGCTCAGCACTGTCCCGCACAACATCCTTGTCTCTAAATTGGAGAGACATCAATTTGATAGATGGACCACTCAGTGGATAAAGAACTGGCTGGATGGCCACATGCAAAGAGTTGTGGTAAACAGCTCAATGTCCAGTTGGAGACCAGTAACGAGTGGTGTCCCTCAGGGAATGGTGATGGGACCTGTTCAATATCTTTGTCGGTGACATGGACAGTGGGATTGAGTGCACCCTCAGCAAGTTTGCCAATGACACCAAGCTGTGTGGCTCAGTTGATGTGCTGGAGGGAAGGGATGCCATCCAGAGGGACCTGGACACACTTGTGAGGTGGGCTGATGCCAACCTCATGAAGTTTAACCAAGCCAAGTACAAGGTCCTGCACCTGGGTTGGGGCAATCCCAGGCACAGCTACAGGCTGGGCAGAGAAGAAATTCTACACCAAAAGCTACACCAAAGCTTGTCTTAGACCAACATTCTGAAACCGTAACACAAGTAGTCACTTTGAGTGTCAACTGGGAGGAAACAAATGTGTATTTGACTTTATTTGGCACTGAGATTTTTATAGAAAGGGAAATATGCTTTTGTTAATGCGGAAGGTGCTACCAGAAACAGCGAGTTGTTAGTTAAAAATGAGCAAATCAGGGGGAAATGCCTTTTCCTCAGCCTAAAAGTGGAGTAATATTGTTCACAAAAAAGCATGAAAAGGAACTCTATAATACTGCATTCATTTATTGGATAATTATGATTTTGACTCAATTATTCTCCTATATTTTGCAATTCCAGTAATAAAAATTGCCATGCTGTCATCGTACTTGCATTGTTATTCAGCAATAACATTTTTAGAAAGATGTAACGGTTAACCTTGACTACTTAATTCTGTAACACAGACTATCTTTCAGGCAAAATTAGTTCCAGATACCATAGATCTCAGTATTGTATTGATATGTAACATTAATGCATAGCAAGAAACTAATGTTAAATGTTAAAATGGTGAATAGGTGTGTTCTAGCAAAAAGAAAAATGGAAAAGAATTAAAAAGGCTACATATTTTAAACAATTTTTTGTTACTATAGCCCAAGGCTTTTTCCTGATTCTTTTCAAGCTTCAATAAAAATGAAATTAAATATTTTAAATGTGAACAAGCAATTTTACTTACTGTTTCCTGGATGCCAGCGCACTGCATTTAAATATGCATTGCAGTAATGGAAGAGAAATTCATGGTTGGATCGGGTAACTTTTCCTTGAAGTAAGGGCATCAGATCATGTCCATCAATAATTCTGAGTAAGAAAGCATTTCAAAATCAGAAGATTAACCCAAACCTCACTTTCCTGAAAAGATTTCACAACTCTCTCTTTCCATCTGAATGGCCACCTCCAGTTGGTCAATTTGGAGAAAAACCTTCAGGTGCTCTCTCCCTTTGTTTTTTACATTATTTCATATGAAAGTTTACATTTTGCAATTAGGAATGTTTGTTTCCTCAACACATTTTTATCTTTTTTTCTTTATTTTTTTTTCTGAGAAAATTACCAGATATTCATGAATAAATTGTGACAACACAGCCCTCCATGTATATGTGCTAAAACTGGTTGGTAATTTGGCCAAAGTAACCCTAAAACAAGAGAAAAACAAGCTGTGCTGTGTAAGCATCCCCAGAAGTAACGGTAAGAACTCTGTCCAGAAAATTATGTATGCCAGAATTTAAGACGTAAGTCATTTTGAAGATGAAAATGAACTGTCTAAATATGTGTTTTTCAACTACAGAAAAGCCTTTGAATTGCTGAAATCAACTGGCAAGGAAGAAATCACAATCTGAACTTTAGACCTGGGTAAATTACAAAAATTACAAGAATCTTTAAGACGAAATAAAATAAAAATAATAAAGTATTATATCAGTCAAAATAATAAAAATTATTTTTATTGATATACAGATCAGCAGGTAATTTTTTTAAGCATTTTGAGCAACTTCTCGTAAAAACTTTTTTGAAACTTTTTCAAAGTTCAATAATGTTCATGTTAATTTTCATTACTGTGTAAAACCCTTTTCACATTAGCATGACTACTACAACACAGGTACTAACTTCGCTTTTTTAAGCCTATCCTATGTGTAAAATTCTTGGCAGCAATTGTATGCAAAAGCACCATTCTGCATAGGACTCTTCTCAAAATGGGCAGGAAAGCGTCCTGGAATTCCTAAAGCTACACTGTCTGATAACTGCCTTCGGAGTGCATCCCTCTCTGTGGGGGTCTGTTAAATTAGAGTCTTTTTCATTTTCAATCTGTCGTGTTTTCTTGCCTGAGTAATGCACTCTCATCTTGCTCGCTATCAAACTGGAAGCAGGACAGACGCATGTCAATTGTACGCTTCCTGTTCTTCAGCATGCTGGTAGGGAAAAGGGCGTCTCCAGTAATACGTCTCCAGTACTCTTGCATTCCCACAACTGCTGGTTTCAAAGGGTATGGGATGACCTACCATGAAGCAGTAATTATGGCATCTAGTCTACACCATAGAAAAAGAATCAGAATAGAGCAACTTGCGACTGGAAGGTACACAAGTATATTGAGATTTCTATCAGAGATCAAAATAGAACATCTGTGCTCGGTCTTCATTCAAGCAACATGAAAACAAAGCGTGTAAGATCTGCCCCCATTAAGAACAATCTGAAATGCTTATGTTCAACAGAGTTACTTCTTGTAGGGCATCTCTCAAGACCAGCCTGAATGATTTTTCATGCCTTACACATGTCCTGCCCTGTCATTTCCTTCAAGCACTCAATGAATCATCATTGGCAGAGTATCTCTGCTCACCACTGGTTTTCCCCGCAGGGATTCTGGATGCTTTGTGCTCAGAAGCTGTTTGTGTGTGGTACATGTGTTCATTAGCCACATGTGTGTGGCTAGAGAGTATGGAACTTGGTCTAGGGACAGGTAATGAGGCAACAGAGAGTTTGTGCATCAGGGTCAAAGGGAGAACAGCAATGGGGGACATTAATGTTGGGATCTGCTACAGGCTGCCCAATTAGAAGGACTCTGTGGATGAAGCGCTCTACAGACAGATAGGAGCAGCCTCACGCTGGCAGGCCCTTGTCCTCACAGGGGACTTCAACCATCCTGATGTCTGCTGGAAGGATAGTGTGGCCTGGCACAAGCAATCCAGGAGGTTCCTTGATTGTGTGGAAGACAAATTCCTCTTGCAAGTAATAGAGGAACCAACAAGGAGAGGTGCCGTGCCTGACCTCATGCTCACCAACAGGGAGGGACTGGCTGGAAATGTGACACTCCAGGGCAGCCTTGGCTGTAGCGACCATGAGATGCTCAAGTTCGAGATCCTCAGGACAGTGAGAAGAGCATGCTGCAAGCTCACTGCCCTGGACTTCAAGAGAGCAGACTTTGGCCTCTTCAGGAACCTGTTTAGTAAAGGTTTCATGGGATATAGTCCTAGAGGGCAGGGGGGCCCAAGACTGATGGCTCATATTCAAGGATCACCTGCTACAGGCTCAGGAGTGTTGTGTCCTCACTAGAAGGAAGTGCAGCAGGAGGTCCAGGAGACCTCCATGGATGGATAAGGAGCTGCTGAGGAAACTTATAGAAGATGGAAGCGAGGACAGGGGGCCTGAGAAGAATACAGGAACATTGTCCGGGAAGCCAGGGACCAGGTTAGGAAAGCTAAAGGCCCAGTTAGAATTAAATCTGGCAAGGGACATTAAAGATAACAGGAAAGGCTTCTATAGGTACGTAACTAATGAAAGACAGACTAGGGACAACGTGGGCCCTCTCCAGAAGCTATCAGAAGAACTGGCTACACTGGATTTGGAGAAGGTTGAGGTTCTTCTTTGCCTCAGTCTTCACTAGCAAATGCTCAGACCACACCAGCCAAGTCTTGGAAGGCAAACGCAGGGACTGTGAGAATGAAGACCCTAGGCCCACTCTAGGAGAGGATGAGGTTTGAGACCACCTTAAGAACCTGAACGTGCACAAGTTCATGGGACCTGATGAAATCCATCTGTGTGTCCTGAAGGAGCTTGAGTGCACCCTCAGCAAGTCTG